AAAAGCGTAAAAAGTAGTCAAATTTTGCTCTTTTAACTGGAAAAAAAACTGAAACATTTTGATTATTGGGGGGTGTACACCCCCCGCTCGCGCGGGGCCTGCCCACACCCACAACCACACTCTCACCCTCTCCCTTCATCCTCGGCCTCGCTTCAAGATTTCTTTTTTGTTACGTCCCATGATAATATTGAAATTCATCATTACTACCAGCTAATAAGTTCATCTTAATCGCGTACGATTAGAGAAGTTGAGTTTCACTTATGGGAATATTTTTTTCCATTTTAATTGGCTCAACTCTTGATTGATTTGGTGATCAAATCACTAATTTTTTGGTGATCATTTCGCAGTAAAAAAATTTGGTGATCAAAACACTCATTTTTTGGTGATCATTTCGCAGTAAAAAAATTTGGTGATCAAAACACTCATTTTTTGGTGATCATTTCGCAGCTACACAATTTTGGTGATCAAAACTCAACTTTTTGGTGATCAAAACACATTTTCCCCTTGTATATTTAACTTTGCCTCTTCTTACACTTGCAAAATGAACATTTTTGTTATGCATCATATATATCAATATGATCATTTTCACGAATTAATCAAGACCTCTATCAGCATAAAAAATTTCATTACAATTGGCTAATTAAATTTTCTTTTTATATTTTGTATTAAAATCCATAAAAAAGATTTAAAGCAACCCGTATGGCATTTAAATCAGATGAACGACGACCTTCACATATTAGAAAAGAAGAATATACATTTAAAACATCGAACAATTTAGATAAAATATCTGTCTCTTTTTGAAACGTTACACCCTTTTAAAATCTTGACTTTCAATTCGAATAAATCATATCATTCAGAGTTTTATATTGAATTTGTTGATTCATCAGCATCTTTCGAACGTGGATCCCCAACAATATTATTAAATAAAATAAAACAATTAATTTATTTTAAAAAATTTACCTTTGTAATTACATTAGAGGAACATCTTTTGATGTTCTAATTTCCAATCGTCGTGAATATTTGATTATCATGACCTAGCAAACAAATATTTTATTTTACTTCTTTTTTTTGAAAATGAGAAGAATCTTACCAGCAGCAAATAAATTCAATGTTGAATGAACTGTTAAAATTCAATATCAATCATTTTTCAATGATTTCATTTAAATTGAATTAAAATAAAATAAACTGTTTGTTGATATCCCAAAGTTGATCTATCGAACAGAACAAAAATGAAGTGAATGATATGAACATACTTCAATATTGTGTGCTCGTCTGTTTCGTGCTCACAACTGAAGATGGAAGCGAGAGAAGAATGAAAAAATAATATAAGTCACGACTAGGGGTGGGAAGTTACCGTCCCCGAACCGTTACCCGGGAACGGTAACGGTAACTTCCCACCCCTAGTCACGACAATATCTCTTTCTTTTCTTCTCTCGTCCGTAAGTCGTCATTGTTCAGGTTATCATTGATGATCAATGATAATATGACATAATCCATGTGTATATCAATTAAGCATTATCCCATACACATACATTGAGATATTTGTGATTGAATTTATCTCAATGCATGTGTATGTAGATGATAGCTTAATTACTATCATCTTTTCATCACTCTCTGCCGAGAAAAAAAAACAAAACTATCGATTTTTAACATATAAATATGAATGATTTTCTATGTAAAATCATTCAATTTATTGAATCAAATATTAATCTTTTCTTTTTATATTTTAGAATGATTTCGACGATACAAAATTATACAATTCAAATCAATACAACACAATAAAAAAATGTACGTATCAGTTTTTATTTTTTTTCTTCTTTTTTTTTCTTTATTGGATCATACAGAGGGTGGTAAGTCCTCTTGTGATCTTTTATATTCATGTTTTTCTTTTCCTGTTAAAGACGTCATCATTCAACATCAACGGGTGAGTTAATTTTTTTTTCTTTTTCTTTTCTTCGTTGAGATGAGAATAGTTAGGGTGAGTGAGGTACGTTGAGATTAAGGTTTCGCTTTATCAGAAGGACTTCCGGGTAGTCCCTAAAAGCCTGGCCAGGAACTGTCTTGGTGTCCGTGGCGCACGATCGGGCCCCCAGACTCACTGATATATGACATCGGATGGGTGCATGTGGATGATGTGGGTCTTCCCGCGCGTGCATGAGCATTACGCTCGCCACGGCTCCACCAGGATGGTTCCTGGTCGCGCGCGCGAAGAGAACAGAATAAATTTCAATGGATCTTCTCATTCAATAGCAATTTATTTGAAAGAGAAAGAGAACAAAAAAATAATAAAATTCATCATCGTATTGAAGTTCATACGATATTAAATTTTTGTACTCGATGATTTCCCCAATCGACGACATAGAGATTGCCATGTCGATCAAATGATAAACCTATGGGACGATCGAGTTGATTCGACTGTGCTCCTTGACCGTTTCCACCAACAATGACACTTCCCTGTGTGGCTCCTTTTGGCCAACGCATGATTCTATCATTCCAAGAATCAGCCACATAGACAGTACCCAATTGATCGACCACGACTCCTCGAGGTTCATTCAATTGTGTAAGACTATTTCCTTCTCCTTGACCACCGGCTACGACAATGCCTTGTTTTGCACCTTCTTCCCATTTTATTACACGATAATTCCAAAAATCAGACACATAAACTGAATGGTCTCGATCGACAAATACGTAGCGGGGATTAGAGAGTTGATCGAGACGATTTCCTTTTCCATTGCCACCTGCAACCACTGTTCCTTTAGTGTCACCAATTTTATATCGTCTCACTTCATGGTTTTCAATGTCAACGACATAGAGAGAACCATTGTCGTCCATTGTCAAACCGCAGCAAGAGATATTTGAAATAATTGTTTCTCCACGAGTACCATTTCGACGAGGCCAACGAACTACTCTGTCATTCTCCCAATCACTGATGATGAGACTATCGGTCTCTTTGTCGATAATCACATCTCGTGGGCCATTTAATTGATGAGCCCCATTTCCTTGTCCATTTCCACCAGCAACTACTTTTCCATTCGTTGCACCAGATTTCCATTCCACAATACGATGATTCGAATAATCAGCGACATAAATCGTTTGATCATCATCGACGTACAAACCCCATGGAGAGTTGAGTTGATTGGTTTCACTGCCCCATCCATTTCCTCCAGCAACAGTGATACCATTCTGTGACCATTTTGCATTGGGATGAATATTAATCGAACTTGCAGGCATTGGTACTAAAATGAAACAAAAGTATGAAATAAAAATAAACATCAATGTCATTGAAATGAATCATTCTCATTTGTTTTAAACAATATTGAACTGCTCTAAATTACAAAAGTTTTTTCTTATGAACTTGATTAGAATCTGATTTTCTCAATGTTGAAAAAAAAACATTGTTGATTTTTTTCAAATATTTTATGTAAGAATCCTTAGTTTGACTAAAACTAACTAAAATTTAACTGTTAATGTAAAAAATTGCGATGAACTCGAATGTTTATCGTGAATGAAATTTTCTTTTTTGTCGAATTTTTCCAACATATTCACTGATTTCGTTAGTTCGAGTTTGAAATATATTTAAAAATTATTTCATTTTTTTTTGTATGGATTTTACAATAAAATGAGTTATAATAGAATTTGAACGTAAGGAAAAACAATTTTGTTATCAGTTGATAGTAAACGGTGTATGATTTATGTTTGTCACACATTTCTGAGTGAAATGAGACAAAATAAATTTGCAACTTTTATATGAATTCGTTAAAAACATCTTGTTAGACAATAACAATAGTTAATTATACTTCACTACCATCCATAAGACGTTCTTAACTGATTCGTATAAAAAAATTACAAATTTTTTGTGTAAGTATTTTTCTTTCTTATTCCATTTACGAATGTGTGACAAATATAAATCATACACCATTCGAAAGTATTTTATGCCATGAATTTTGCATCATACTTATTATTGAGTAATTTATTCCTGAATCTGAAACAAACAAGTAGTTTGTAGAAAGGCAAATCGAAGTGCTAAATAAGATAAGTTTAGATAAAAAAAATACGTAAGTTCAAATTTTAGTAGATAAGAAGAACTCAAAAACAAATCTTTCCCAAGTTCAAGAATATTTGAAGAATCTGTCATATTCATTATTCTGCATTGTAGCACAAACAATAATCTATATACGAATCAATCAAATCTTTTATTTTAAATTCATTTGTAATGTATTACAAATTTTCAACTTAATAGGGTGTGGGTGTATGAAACACGGTTTTTTAAACAATAGCAGTTTCGATCACGGATCGATTTAGAACTTTCTACAATTAAGTATTTTCGCTTCTTTACAAGACAATACGAATCTCCCATCGAAACCTTGATCTAAAATCTTTGCAAGTTTTTGTTTTGTAGGTTATTCAATAGGTGGAAATTTTTGAGGATTCTCAAAAAAAAACGATCGTAAAAGATTTCATCATGATTTGAGCCATTCTGAATAGCAATAAGTGTGAAGATTTCTTCTTCAAACTTTCATTGTATCGCATCCTGAACTGGTTAAATCCTATAAGAAAGTTTTTTTTGTTTGTCTAGAATTTTCTAAAGATTTATATTGATACTGACTTGAGCTTTAAACTAGAAACAATACTTCTATGATCATATCTTGAACGGACAGTTACAGAACCGATGAAGTTAATAAAAAATGTCATGGAGTTTTATAAACTCCCTAAAAATAATTTAAATAATTTCATCCTTTTTAATTTATCTATGAAGAATCTAGCTATCATCGAGATCTTGATTAAATTCAATACTATTTAATCAATTTTCATTTTTATTACATTTAATGTCATGTATTTTTAATATGTTTAATGTTTCAGTGCAATTGGAAGAAAGTACATTTTAGTATTATTTCTTTTCTTTTCGATCAACAAAAAATAATACGTGTAAAACGGTATGAGACCTTTAATTATGTGTCAAACAAGTCGAAGATGAGAGTCAGAATCAAAACAATACTTTCTGATTTTTAAATCAAAGAGATTGTGAGACATAAAATTCGAGTAGATAATTTTATTTTCTACTTATAGATGATGATACAGAGCTATATGAGATGCTTATTAATATTATAGATTTATTTCAATTAAATCAAACTTCTCAAATATTTCTTATACACATGGAAATAATCAGTCTGATCGGCTATCTTGCTTCGGTTTTTTTGCACATAAACTTCAGTCTTATTTTAGAACAAGTGTAGTCAACATTTACTCTATATTTGATATTATATAAAATCCTATTCATTATTTTTCATTTTTCTATACTGTAGTATGAAAATTTCCATTTTTATTTCTTGTTTTTCTATTTTGGCAATATAGAGAATCCCATTTTTCTATATTAATAATATAGAAAGTTATATTTGTTAATTCTTATTTTCTATATTGATAATATAAATAACGATTAGTTTTAATTTCAATTTTTCTATGTTGGTAATATAGATAACAGTTACTTTTATTTCTTATTTTTCTATATCAATAATATAAGTATCGTAATTTTTATTTCTTGTTTTTCTAAATTGGTAGTTTAGAAAATCTTATTTATTGTTTTTCATTTTTTAGATTGATAATACAGAAAATCTCAATTTTAATTTTTGATTTTTCTATAGCAATAATAGAGAAAAACTTAATTGTCATTTTTTATTCTTCTATATTGGTAATATAGAAAAACCTATTTTTATTTCTCATTTTTTTATATTAATAATATAGAAAATCTTATTTTTAATTCTTATTTTTATATATTGATAATAATAGAAAAATAAAAAATACAATTTTCTATGTCAACAATATACAAAAAATAGAGAATAAAACAAACTGTTATCTTTATTACCAATGTAGAAAAATAAGATTCTCCATATCACGAATGTAAAAAAATAACAAACGATAATCAGCATTTTCTATATTACTACTATAGACAAATAGAACAAAAATAACTGTTTCTATATCATCAATATAGAAAAATAAAAAATAAATAGAATTTACTATTTCGTCACCACAGAAAACTAAGAAATAGAAGTAACCGTTTTGTAAACTATTAGTATAGAAAAAGAAGAAAAAAATTAGGTACACTGCTTGATCCTGTTTTTCAGGTACTGTTCTTCATAGAAAAGCTGATGGAGTCAACTATTCTCAAACAAGTGAAAGAACAGAACACACACCATACACGAACAGATAATAACAGGCAAGATCTACATTATGTATCGTGTATGTTTCTTTGTTTTAGATCTTGTATGATCTGTTAAGGTCTGACAAGAAGCATTCAGTCTGTCCTTATAAGTGTTTCAATCTTTGAATCTTGTATGATTAACTAATGTCACTGAGAAACAGGACGAAACTATTCATTTTTTAAATCGAATTGATGAAATTTAACAAATAAACATTGTTGAAATTTGTAAACTATGTGAAAATAATAACAATTCAATCGCAATTTCACATAGTTGGAAGTTTGTAGCTTTATGTAAGAAGATGATGAAATTCAGCCGTATAAGCTGCTCAGCTTGTTAACTGAATATGTAAAGGTTAATATTACAATAGATATGTTCATTTCTGTTCTGTTTTTTCTGAGAATAGTCTGCAATTATCCTGATCTGAATTCTTATAAATAGAATAAGATTCCAACAAAGAGCTGTAATGTAAAAGTACATATTGCAAATAAGAATTATCTTATTAATGAATAGAATTCTTTTCGATGTATGAGATGATTTTACAGTACTCTAGAAGCGATAGTTCTATTCATGAATCTCAAACGAAGATGACTTCTTCATTAAAAATGATAGAGTTATGAGATTGTTGTTAGAAAAACGTTTAAGTTGTAGAAATTTTTCGAAACTTAGTAAATATTTCACCAACCTATTGAATTTAAACAGAACCCTTTGTAGTCAAGATAAGCTACATTCATACGCTATATTGAAAAGTGTATATAGTTTATCCATTAATCATTACGATCAATAAGAATTTATTCCAATTTTTACTCATGTCTGTCCAAGTATGGTTTGACATGCGTTGATGCAAAAGTTTTATATGAACAGACTTATATAAATTGAACCAATTAAAATTTATTTATTCTGAAGAGATCATCTTACGCAATGAAAATAAATGCTCATCAAATTTAATCTATTAGTTTCAGGGAAGTTAATTAATACTGATTGTTTTTAGTATTGATAGAAGTTGATAATGAGTTCGTGAAGCATCTTATGATGTTAGAAAACCATCGTTATAATATAAATCAGAGAAATGATAGATTTTATTTTCGAATCATCAATCAAAATTTTACTTTTCTACCAGAATTCTTTACTTTCAAAGCTAAATAATATTTTTCGTTGAAATAAACTTGAGTAGAGAATATCTTCAATATTTTGATTCAATGTTATTAAAGTTAACAATTAATATTAGAGATAATAAAGAATTAGAATCGATAATCTTCGTCTTTTGATACAAATATTCATAATGAATGAATTTATTTAAAATGTTGAAATAAAAAGAAAACATTTCCTTTCTTAAGATATACGTCTTTTTCAAATTATCGTGTAAAGATCATCTCGGGTTCACACCGAGGGTTTCAATGAGAATCTATTAATCGTCCTCTCTCCAAAAACTTACTTCTATTAATCATGTGATTCAATTTATAAAAAAATGAATTGACGAAAACACTCATCAATGGGATCAAGATATCTTTTTATTTCATAGTATTCTCTATTGTATTATGCTTATGTTGTGGTCTTCTAAAGTAGATTCTGACTAGAATAGTATTATTTTAGTGCACAGTAAGTTCGAAATTTTCAATATCATCCTGCTTCAGTAAAAATTATACCATTCGAAAGAGCACTAGAAATTGATCAAGAAACACTAATTTCCTCTGAGGCATACCTTCAAGTTCGTAGCAAAAATTTACAAAAATATCTAAAATTTCTAGAGCTAACCGTTAACTGTCATATTCTTTTTATCTCTTTTCTTGTACATACAACCGCAAATGTCTATGTTACTGAAGACATTAGGAAAAACATAGCTGAAAGAAATATAATAAAATTTCTTCATGAAAAATGTTTGAAATAATCCTCTTTGAACATGATGAATGGCCAAAAACTATAATTATTTCAGTGCACGAATAACTAACACAATTTGTGTCAGGTATTTTATCTCGTTATGTTGATGATCACATGAGGATTTATCAATATATCATCATTCAACAGGTGCATGATAACTACTTTCAAAGATGGTAAACCTAATGTAGTTCAAGGATCACATTTATATCCAATTATTTTTTTCATATTCATTTTATGGCACTGCATTCCCAGAAAAAAAATCAACTAGAAGGATTTTGCACATTCAAAAATCATGTGAGACTTATTTATGTTTGTTTTGATTGCATATTGAAATTGACAATGAAATTATAAAAAAACAATATCAATTCTTTTCGATCGAGCAATTGCAAGAATAACTGACAAGAGAAAGGAATAATAATTTTATGATCAATTCAAAAAACTATTTGTTCATGATTTACTACAAACGAAGTAAAAAAACGAAATAGATCTTTTTTTTGAAACGATTAACAATAAGAAAGTCAATATATATTTTTGTATGAGAAATAGAACTTGAAACATTTAGATTACTCATGAGGTCTGATACAATAATGATGTAACGTAATTCCGTATTGATACTTTTCTTAAATTAAACTATCACATCATCATTATTATCATCATAATCATTACGAGCAATGTGGCAAGGTTGTTTTTTTCTTCTTTCCTATCAGCTGTTCACATAATATATATAAAAGATTACAGTTATCTCTAGAAATTTTAGATATTTTTGTAAATTTTTACAACGGACTTGAAAGTAAGCCTCAGAGGAAATTAGCACGTCTTGATCGGTTTCTTATGTTCTTTCTAATGATATAATTTTTACTGAAGTAGCACTATTATTAAAAATTTCGAACTAAGTATTACTATACGGTAATTGATGTTCATTTGCACTTTTCTTTAAAGACCAAACCGTATAAATGGTAATCAATACGGTTTTATTGAAAGTTGTAATCTATGATGAAGTCTTAGCAGTTGTCTGTTAGTAACATACTGTTTTAGATGTCATCCGCATTCAACTTATTAGTTTAGATAATGGTACAAACGAAATGGAAACTGAAAACTTTATTCATCATGAGATCTGACATAGTGTTTTATAGACTCAAAAAGTGCTTTGAAATCTTGCCGTATGAAAGGTTCAAGGGCACTGTTTTTCCTTGGTCTGAAGCAAAACGATCACTATAATCAAGGCAATATTTAAGAGTACCTTATGGACAAAATGTCTTTCATCTTCTTTTATATGACTTTCGCAGTTTTATTTCAATACGTCTTGTCTCTAATAGAATAACATTTCTTCTTTTAAAGTTGATTTACTCATGCGAGTTCATTCAGTTTTGCCCTTTTGTTTATTTCAAGACAAGTGATGATTGAAGAAAAATGTAAAACTATTTGCTGGAAATAACAGGATATCATGTGAACAGTGGAGAAAGAGAAAATTACCAAATCAATATTTATCTCAGGTCTAACAGGCTGATTTATCTTGAGCAAAGCTTTTAAACGTGAAAAACTGTTCAGAAAGAAAAATTTTTTGATCTGATTCTTTGTGAAATATCCAAAAATTATAGTCTTTTTCTGGATACCAAATCTCTCAAAAGTTAGAATTTTGATACTTATTTCATATCTGAGAAAAACAATTGTCTGTTATTTACATAGCCTGAATAGTGTAGGAACGCACATTTAAGATGATCAATAACAATAATCAAACTATTTGTTTTATCGAATTAATTCGAACTACAAATTTTATGGTGGAAGATCAAACTAAGTAAGGGACTAGTGCTTGTTTTATTTTTTTTTCCGAAAACTATCAAACTATAGAACTTATTCATATATACAAAAATGAATTCAATAATATTTATTTTTTCTAAAGTTTACCGAAAATTTTCATAAGTGATTGTGTATAATCGTCACATTTGTGATATCTTAAGATTTATGATAAGAATTAAACCATGTCACATTGATTTTAAGCTATTAAACGACAAAACATTTACGTTGTCTCCGTCCTTCAAATGCGAGCATACAGAAATGTCAATCTGAGATCGACTATTTTTCACCACACTCTTTTTTAATATAGAAGCTAATTCTAACCTGTAAATGCAATGACTTATTAGTGCATGTAGCTCAAAATGTATGTAGATTATTCTCAAGCATTTTTTTTACTCTGTAATCTATAAACACAATTATTTTATTTAATGTGTAATACTTCAAAAATTTAATGCATTCCAAGATGAACAACTGAACAGAGATAGATGAATTTTATACTACGAGAAAAACCGTCGGATACAAAATTTTATAAACAATTCTTTTTAAAAATCGGTAAAATCAGTTTATTTTTCGATAGCAAATGAATCTGTTACACTGATGTTTAATAATTTCACTATTTTATTCTAATTTCAGATGAAATACTCAATCTGAAAACAAAGATTAATATGTGCTTTTAGATTGAATCTTCTGTTTAGAAAACAAATAAAATATCAGTAAAATCATTCAAAATCAGTAACAGATCTTCATATACTTTCAAACCTGAAAGGTTTTAAGAAATTTTAAAATAATTTTCGGTTTTTGTCCTCAATGGTTTTTTGTCAGAACAAGATAAAATATATGAGTCATATCGAGTCAAGTAGTGATGTTTCTTCGAAAATATACCGAAATTCTAAATCATGAGACAACGATTTATTTAGCTCTAGTTTTGAAACCTTAGAAAATTCAACTTAAGTATTTGGATTTTTTTCTTGTAACTGGTTTTTACGTTGAATCTACGAAGAAATACCACTACTTGGCTCAAGATGTTTCAAGTATTTCATGTAATTTTTTTTGTTGTGATGATAATTGATAATTTAGTACAAAACTTGCTAGAATATTTTTTGCTAACTCCTGAATGATCTGGTCGACAAATTCGAATGTTGACTAGATCTACCTAGTTCTATTTTCTTTTACAACAAGGAAGAACAGATCAAATAAAAACAAAATATGTTTATGATCAAACTTGTTCTCGACATACTCAATAGAAATCTGATTAATTTATAGATTTCTATTAATCATCTTCAATAATTTCAAACATCAATGTCTATTATTTATATTGGATAACGCAAACTAGTATGTCTTTCGATGAAAGACTCAAGCAAACATGAACGTTTTGTGAAGCTGCTTGTTTAAGGTGTGGGTGTGGCTGCTGATATGTATGAAGACAAGAATTAAACTTACATCTACTCACACGCACCCACACCCCATCCCACTCCATCCCATTCCATAACACTCACTACTAGTTGTACGTCTCATTATCAAGGCGATAATCAACGACATTCTACCTTTATTTGATGATGCCTTGATTTTCATGGTAGACATCTAAAGATATGAGATACTTGATGAATATCTATTTTCTAGATTAATTTTCTTCTAACCTGTTTCATGATGGAGCTGGGACCAACACTAACAGCACCGGCGGCCGCTACTGCAGTTGTATCCTTCTATGAAAAAAAAGAGATAAGTATGAACGAAGAAAAGTCTCTCAGAATTTGTTTGAACTACTTGAGATTTGCTGGATTGTGCCTGTTCTTTTACTTCGTCTTTGACAAAAGCAGCCGTTGTCGAAGCTCCTACAATTCAAAACAATAAGTCATTTCTTAATGGGACTCTTATAGCATTATGAATTAAGTTCAATATACTTGTTTTCATGTAGTGGTTTAATCGAAAATAGAGACGAATACGAAAGTGAGTGTTCGGGGCGAGAATGTCAGATTTTCTTTTCACTTTTACTCAAACCTTATCCAAATCCTTTAGTAGTCAGCCAAAAACAAGATTATTTTTCTCGATTTCTAACCGTAGAAAAATTTGAATTGCAGCTAACCAGTATCTATGGCTCTTTGGACTGTTAGTATAAGAAAAGAAAACATCTTCTGAAGACAATATTTCAAGTGAGTCTCGTAGATTTTGAAAATATAACAACTTGAATCATTTCTTTAGATTTCACGAGACAAAAGATATTAGTAGGTGAAGCAAAAAGTGACTAAAACTGACCAGGTTTTAATCGGTTATTTAAACTATGTAAGACAAAATCGATTGTTTTTTTATTAAAAAAATTTGCAAAATCGAAAGTTGCTATATAGAATAGCTTTCTTTTCTGATCCTATAAACTGAATTGATTTTAAGCTGATTTTGAACCCGATTTTAAGATCGATTGCAAAATGGTTGTGTGTCCAGATTTTATGATACGCACATTGACTAAAGGACATAGCTCTTGATTTTCTTCTCGATCTCGAAAGTGGGAGCGTTGTATATCAAGTGAAATATTCTTTTTTTTATTTTCATTTACCTGAAGGAATTGGATTGATAGATGATGAAGCAACAATTGGCACTGGCAGTAAAAGTGGATATGGCGGCCGAGTCTCTTCCAATTGAATTATATGAAGATCACCTTGATTAAGACAACCGATTACTTTGAATTGAGTAGCAGCCATCAAAAGTACTTCATCTTCAGCTGGAAAATAAGAATGCTTACGAATATCTTTAGCCGCTAGACAATGTAAGGTAAACATTGTACGATCACCTTTCGTCCCCAAAAATTGATTCGAATTGAGAACATTAACAACGGTTGTACAAGACGAGAAACCCCACCAGACGATTGTTTTTCCTTCAGTGTAACGCTTGCTTAGATCTAATTTAACGCCTCTGTATGCAATTTTCGTAAGTGATGGAAGACGAAAGAGTGCGCTGAGAAACAGTCTCATAAATAAATACCATGGCCTAAGTTTTTGTTGTCGTTCAGATGACCGTAATGCATCGTTCAAAACAATATAAAGGCATTTATCCAGTGGCTCCCACCCCATTGTGTATAACATAATTGAGGCGGACTCATCTTGTGTCAGTCCATCGGCAGGATCCTCACACATTTGTTTGGCAACATAAGCATAGCTTTGAACAGCTGGTAAAACAGAAACAAGTGGTTCGACAGCTTTTTCAAGTGTAACAAGTGGCATTTCCTCGTAGCCACCAATCGGCGCGATAAATCGAAGTGGCTCCTGAGCAATATCTGTAATGCGTAATATACGCTGTGCAGTCGCTTCTTTTCCACCTCCTGTAGCCATGCTCAGTAGAAAGTGAGTTCTTCACGAAATATTAAAGTGGTATATATCTAAAAAGCAATAAATGACAACTTTTATAGAATTATTTTTACCACCATTGATCTTTTTGTCTCTTGGTAATAATCAAGCTGTAAGAATATTGGACTTTTCTTACATTGCTGTATTTGATCTTATATAACCTTCAAGATTTACAGTATGCCTAACGTTAGTTCTAACACTTATGTGGAAATATTCTCTGATGACACAATCAAAGTAATTTTAAATTTTTATATTGAATTGTTAATATCATAGAGATTTATTCAATACTGAATGCACATTATTTCCTTAACTGTCAATTCCTCGTTATCTAATTTTTTACTAGTTTTCTCAAAATGAGTTTCATTAAAATATAAGTGTTTCTTCAAAAACATTTTTCGAAACTTTTGTGTCCTTGATATTTCAATAAATGAACAGTGAGATTCGCTGAAAACTTCTGAACAGGCAATTTTTTGTCTATCACAGTGTTTTAGAAAAACCCATTGAAGACTGATGGTGTTAACTTTCTGAATATCACACGGCTGTATTCTCACATAAATGTAGAGAATGATAGATAGAAATTAATCCATATATTTAGCTAGAAAAACTACATGTTCAAACAATGGTTTTTATAACGAATGATGTACTCAGAGCTTTTTCTCTATTAGAAAATACTAGCAAGAATGCTGTACGAACTCGTCATTATGATGAATGATGGTAGTAGCTTATTGTTTCAGAAGAAAATTGCTATTATTACAATTGATGATGAGACCATGAAATTTCTGTTAATTTCAGTCAAATGAATATTGGTGTCAAGTTATCGTACGTAAAAATAATCGTATCATGTTTTTCAGAAAATGCAAGTATTGAAGGTTGCCTACGATGTTTTACAACTGTCAATTTTTTTAAATGAGGGCAGAGTAAACCGACGAAGTATTGCATGTTTCTTACTCGGAATGTTTTTGTCATTGTTAAAAAGCTATCATTATTTATATATATTCCATTGAACGAAATACAATTAAGAAAGAAGTCTTCGTGCTCCGTTCATTTCAATAAAATATCTCAAGATCTTTTCAAATGATCATTAACAATTATTGACGAAGATGATATACACAACAATGTTCGTATTCTGTTGCTCCAAGCGTTTTCTAGCCAATATAGGAATAAGAATAATAATAATAGAATAAATTATAGTCTATTACGAATCCACGAAAAATGTCGCTTTGTGAAAAATGCAACATTTCTTTGTCCTTCTCAATAAAAACTTCTATCCATTAGGTTTGAATAAAATTGCCTAATCATATGACCATAATTAAAATCATAAAACCGATTATTCTTCAACAAAATTAAAATTAAAATTAAAATCGATTGGGAATAGTTTTCTTTTGAGCAAATTATAGCTAGATACAGATCGATTACCATACGAAAGAAGAGTATGATATTGATCAATTTTAATTTTGACTTTGCAGTATTATCAGATGGTCGATAGTCTCACTTGTGAAGCGTTTCACGTGATAAGAAACTTTATTTGCTAAATAGAACCTATTAAGACCAGACAAAATATAGAATAAATCGTGCCCTTTCAGTCATCCTTCTCTAGTTTAATTCAATATGCCAAGATTTTTATTTTTATTAAGGTAACCAATACATAACAGAAAATTGCAATATTAACTATACTGAAATGAGAAACGGATGGAACTCAACTAGAAATCTGTTGAATGATAATTTGACCGACTTATTTAGCATCTGCCTTTGACAAACTCTCTGTCGTTATGTATCGTTCACAAATGCTCGCAGATAACGTAATTAAATGCTACCTATTTCTGGTAACGATCAAATCACATTCTGTTACATAGAAACTAAGTACATATAATTAAATGAAAGGTAAAAATAAATTCAATTCGATGGAGTTTAGCAGAAAAAAACCTGTATTCTTAATTAAAAGATATAACCTATACGTGATTCTACGTATTCAATGAACAATCTAAAAACTTAAATTCATCGTTTCTTATTGCTATTGACACATTTCTTCTATGAAACAAACGTCTTATTACACTCAAATTTAGTAACACTTTGTACTTGATTTTCTCTTACTTTTCATTGACGAAATTATAACAAAGAATACGTTGACTTTTACTCTATGAATATTTGAACGTATCATGCTAGTGATAATGAGTGTATTTCATAAATTCATTTATGTTCTTTTAGTTTCAATGACAAAAGAAAAAAAATGATAACAACAGAATTAACATAGAGCTTTCGCTTTGCGGATGTTTTATTCCACCTACAACTACTTGAACTTTCCATCTCTAAAAACATAGATTACAAAGAGTAAAATAGTTTTTGGATTTTCTACTTTCAAATTAATGTTTCTCGACTAGTCAAACATTTTCTGTCCGGTTTAGGCACAAACTATTAGCGGATCATCCCATTATTTGAAGCTATGATCTTGTGTCAAACACTAGTTGTGCCGAAATTTCATTGCAAAAGAAATATTGATACTATGAATAGAGAGTCTTTATGGAAGTTTTTTCCATCCTGTATGCAACACTAGCTAACCTAACGGCTTTGCTTTAATAATTTAATATGAATATATGAAAGTTTTTTTTTAATGGGAACCCCAATAATATTTGAAGCTGTCATACTTCCAAAACAAAAACAATCGCATTTTCATAAAGTGATTGCTTTGCCCACCTGTCAGTGAATTATCAACAAAAAATTAATGTCAACAAGTGTTTCACGTAACATAAAACACTAGAAAAAAGGCCTACTTTGCTGCATTTTTTTTGTAAAACGACTGTCCACATGGTCATATAAGAAGTCAATTCAATTTTCTCTTGATGAAATTAAATATAGAACTATTGAAGTAGGATTATAACTGCATGCTTCAAACATATAGAATCTCTAACTTCCACGATGGATTTTGAAAGAATAAAACATAGACTAGATGGCTAAGTTTTAGAGATGCCCATCAGGACTGAACATCTGCCATTACCTAGGGTAGAGAGCACTCTTTGAAGAATAACGATTATTCTACATGCGAGCATTGGGAAGTACTATAGCACTTTTGATTTCCTAATTCTGAAGAAAACAGTAGGAGGTTTGATAAAATTCTGTGTATTTGAAAATCATGAAATCGACGAAACTCAAACGTCTATCAGAAGGCAAACATTTTAATATTGAAAACTATACGGTAGTTTTAGGATTCGAGGAACACCAATAAATCTATAATCTTGCAAAATTCACTGAACTCAACTAATCGAAGAAATTCACACAGTTCTAAGTATTCTAGAAACACGCGAAGTCTATAATTTTCAATGAACTCAAGGTGATAGTTGCTTGGTTTTAATAATTGAGTTAAACTGTAAAAAAAGAATTTTCTATTATGAAAACCTTTCCACTTCTCTGGAACAGAAAGTAATCAATCATTGCTCACAGTCGTATCCATATTTACAGTATAATAGTTTTAGTTTTCATTACAAAATCATTGGATCATTCAAATCAAGTTCTTATTATTGAAGAAATGCTTTATCAAGTTGCCATCTAAACGACTACAAGTTGGTCTATCAATACTTCGTTTATTCTCAGCTTTGCAGACGTTCTTTTATGATGTTTAAGGGGGAACCCCCCCTCCGAAACCTATCTTCTAAACGATACAACAGATTTCGATGAAAATTTCAGGAAATAGAAAAGCTAATGTAACTAGCATCTGATAAAAATTTCAACCAATCATTTTTGATAATTAAGAAGCTATACTCAATTTACTCATGAAAACGGGGGTTTTGGCACGGAACATTTTTCCGATGCGCGGTAGCATGAAAAATGTTGAACTTTGTTTCAAAATGAAGAAAAATCTTTTATCTAGAAATTGTAGGAACAGTTTTTTGAAATTCGTTTTCGTTCAATTGTAGTAATCATTTTAAACCGAAAATCGCAAAAACTGCTTTGAGCACTTTCAAAGATTTTCAAATATCTAAACAATGGAGATATATTTTGAAAATCTGTTCCGACAATTTCTAGAAAAAAGTCTCATCTTTTAAATAAATAAAAATCAGCAGAGTACATCAAGCGGTGAACTGGGAAAATGTTCCGCAATGGTCAGAAAACGATAAAAAAGTGAAGCTGAGAAAAACGAATAACAACATTGCGACGTAGTTGATGATCTTCTTGTAGAGAGAATTCGAGCATATTATATATCACTGAAAAGCGCATAAAAAGTTCTTACAGTTGGTAGTATTTTCAAGAAAAAAATAAGCCGATTTCTTAAGCTAATTTCTGAATCCAAGTTCACTGTAGCGCCATCTTTTCGAAAAATAGCCTAATTTTGAACCTTTCTTATAAGACTGCAACATCCAAAACATGATTACTCGATACGGTAATGGTTTTAGAGTGCTAATAAAGAAGGTAGAACGATATTAGTTACCGATAATTAAGGAAGAAAATCAACAAGACAGCCGATTTTCCATTATAGCGTCCAGTAAACTTGCCAAAATTGGGCAAAATATGTTCCATTCCTATATAGTTTATACATATTCTGAAAGAGGACACTTGGGGCTACAAGAAGATGTGTTTTTCCAAAAATCGACTTTTTCAAGGAAAAATCGACTTTCGAAGGGGGGGTTCCCCCTTAATGACGTATATAAGTATATAATAACACTCTGGAACGTTGTTACTCTGTAAAAACATTGTGTACGGCTTGTCCAGCTAAAATGGGCCCGGCTTGTCCAGCTAAAATGGGCCCAGCTTGGCCAAAGTGGAACAGAGAGATTCTTGAACATAATGACAACCGAGCTCATTCATTCAAAAATTTTTTATAGGTTTTCGTATATGCCTATCTATAGATGTCATCTGTTTTGAAAAAAAATGAGAATAAATGGCACTCGCCAGCCAAAATCAAGCATTTTTTGTGCCAAAAACGGTAAAAACGGGACCTTATTCCCACAATCATATTTCAAGCAATACTGTATCATTTGAAAAAGTGGAAATCA